CGACGAGGAGTATCGCTCGTTGCCTGAGAGATTATTATTTGTTGCCGGCGCGGTTTTTTAACGACCGCCATTACATGATTGCTCGCCGATTCCGCGTTTGCTTGTCCACTAAAAATATCCTATGTCTTTTGTTTATCAACGCTTGGGATGAACGCTAGTGACGAATTACTAAATGATTTCTTGATTTTTTTTTATAACATAAGGTGGCAAACGAGCAAGCGGCCACCTGAAATCGCCAAAATGGCGAAGCGACCGCTGCCCATAGACATCCGCAATTGCAGATGCGTTGCCTACCCTTATCCGACGGAGGAGGAGACGCACATAAAGAGGATATTTCCCCTTCCTATGCATCTCCTCCACCGTCAAATCCACTTCCTCTTCCCAATCTCTCTTTATAAGAAAAGGGTGGTAAAGAGAAAGGGACTTAAATTAGGCCTCCGGCACCACACTCATCAGACGAAACACGGAATTGTTTCCATTTCACGCCTGTCTTCTGTGTGGTCGTGGTATTACACCGGGCGTGCCGGCCCGTTCGTGCTAAGATGTTAAAGCGGGCACTACCACTGTTAAAATTGATTGATGATTCTACATATCTTATTAGTGGAAAAAGAATTTCCTGTCTTTGCCGCTCAAAGATCGAAAATTTGTATGAGATATGCCGATGTACTTTATGATACTTTCTCTCAAAATTTCGTGTTAGACCCCTAAATCAAAATTATTTTGTAAAAAGGCCTCTAACTAAACTTACGAGAGAATAGTGAGATACAGTATCTATCTCTTTTCCACATCCCATTTATTTAAGGCCCAATACAGCTATTTCAGTTTTTTCAGGAACTGTGAATACCTTTGTACAGTTTGATCAAAAGAAGTACTTTTTAAAGTTTTAAAGGATTTAAAACAGTGCTCTCCTTTCATGTGCCTTAAGCAAGTTAGTATGAATCCAGAAGGTAACACCAACTTCTGATATCGCTAATAACAATAAAAACTTTTAACTTTGTTAGCGAAAGACAATTAAAAAGATACTCAAAGAAATTGGTAGTAGAATTGCGAATACAAAATCAACAATGTACGCATTACGTTCATAAAGTGCTACATTGAAAGTTCAATAAAAACTGTCGACTTGAAGACTTTTATCTGCGATTCGATATTTTGTTATTGCAGCTATGAATTCTTTATCAATCGGTAAACGGTTGGAATCGGGAGTTGAACAGAATTAATACTAAAAAGTTACATTTGTACTACGAAAATTAATTTATGTTACGAATATGTGTTTATTTACATTACATTAGAAAAATTATCAGTGTTTCTCTACTATATTGTGGACTGTTGCTCGCTACTTCGTCCACGTGGAATTAAAAATAGTACAAAATATAACCTATTCTTTCATTAATAAGGCAGCTTTTTAATCGTGCAACTATTTTATAGTTTATATAGTTTTTCAATTGTTTCATAGATACAACAATACAAATCTTTCCTCTTTAAAATATGAGTATAGATTAAGTAGTGAACAGTATTTTGGTATTATACTGTAAGTGATACTATTAGACAGAGCTATACTAAATCAAGTTTAGTCAAAGATATTAGACTCGGCAACCAAATGCGAGAGGCGTAGGCGAGAGGCCCTGCTAACGAGGTTAGTTCTACCAGAAATGTATAGAGCCTGCATAGGTATAGAAAATATCATAAAAGAAAAATAGGTGATAGCTAACGAAACGGAGCTTGTGACACATTTTTGACATTGACAGCATGGCGCTAGTGAGCTTATAATTTAGTCTGTTTTTTGTCCACCTAGTTGCAAAACTATCTATCTGCAATTTAGAAAAGAAAAATAAACTCCATCCGAAACCCGTTTATGTATTTGATATCTTTATTATTTCTTTTTCTCTTCATACGTTTATAATAAACCTCCACAGACATTCAAACGTCAAAGTAAATCAATTTCTTTTGCGACTAAGCAGAAAAAGTATTTCGAAATTAAATATAACTCATTTCGAGTCTCCTTTCATAAAACCTCTTTCCTAACGCGACATTGTAAATAACCCAACAGATTGTATCACCGAAACTGCGTGCAAAATTCAACCTTAACACCTACTGTTTTGGTTCAAATTTAAATGTAGATTTGTAGGTTTTTTAAAGTAGCAGGATCGGTATCGAGTGAAAATTATCCACCCCAATCCCTTTGAGGCGATTTGTCGTGATCCGAGGAGTCTTTTGTTCCACTTGAAAGGTATTTTTCTGCGCGCATTATTATTACGCTTACACGGGTCGAAAGGATTTTAATACGATTGTTATTTTCGTGTTCGATAATTTTTTTAAATTATATTTTCTTGCGAAAGATCAAAGGAATATGACGTAAAGAGTAAAAAAACAGCAATATAAGTGTAGTGGTTAATATTTTGTTTTGTAGTGACTTTAATAATCTTCACCGATTGAAAAGTTCAATTAGAAAAAACATTATTTGTACCAAATTTTGTTTATTGAATACAATATCAAGTCGCTTGATGTCTATGTACATTTTACTTGCAAATCTGTTTTTCTCTATTCAAACAAATATGATATCGGGAATATAGAATCAAAGACTTTTAATGCATTCCCAATATTTGCGAAACCATTGCGGAGTTTTATTTGACCCTTATTTGTTTTGACAACCTCTATCAGATAGTTTGGCAACTAAACAATCTTTGTATTTGTACACTTCTATATTTGAAAGCCTATAAACTTCAAAAAGTCAAAGGAAATTCGAATTTCGTCCTTAAAAATATACGACTCAATTTAAAATGTCAATTTCAATTGTATTTAAAATTAGGTCTTCAATTGTTTTTCGAATTTGCATCTTATTACCATCTGTTTAAGTACAAATTGACTTGACGTGCAATCTAGGGGTAGAAAAATTGCTCCTTCCTATTTTTTATTTACATAAAATGTACGCGAATGTAAATGATTCCATTCGATTGATGCTTTGTAAGATTATCAGGTGAATGTATTCTCTCCCATTCTATCTAATTTAGATTCGTATTTGTTTTCCTTATCTCTTTAATACTGAAAAAAGTAATTTGGTGGCGGTTTATTGTTGAAGGAAAATTACGTTTAAGCAAATTATAGAGCAGTCCTTTAATGTATATTGATGCTAAGAGGATCGCGGTGTTCTAATTTAGATTATACGGATCGCTCCCCACCTGTGGTTATATTAAATTGGATCCTTGGTGGCTTCTATTGTTTGAACATCTGTCAAAGGTGTTATAGCGAACCAGACTATAAACTAATCAAACACTTTAAACAAAACAAGCCCTAGCAATGTTCGAAACTAATGTTTATTGGGGGTAATCATCACCAGCTCACTATAAGTCCCCACCGAGGGGCTCGGAGCCTACCCTAAAGTTAGGGTGACTAGGCCATAGTCAACCACGCTGGCCAAGTGCGGGTTGGTTGACTTTACACACATCTTTGAATTTCTTCGCCGCTCTGTGCAGGTTGCATCGCGATGTTTTCCTTCACCGTAAGAACGTCGGGTAAATTATGTATATATGAAAATTCCAAAAATCGAAAATCACATTGGTACATGGCGGGATTCGAACCCAAGACCTGTAGATTACAAGTGCTTAAACCACTGAGCCACCGACGCTTTGGGGAAATACGTGTGAGAAAATAATTTCCTCTTTCTACAAAACTACTCTATTACTCATATATCTAATGTAAGATCACATTTATTTGCAATGCATAGTGTATTTTGTAATCAGTGTCGTGTCCAAAATGTGCCCAAAAAGGTTTGGCATTCCTGACCAAAAGTATTATTCAGTAGATTATGAGTATACTATCTAAAGGATTACCTCGTTAACTTGAAAAAAAAAATGATTTTTCATGAAAATCTTTTTACAATTTTTTTTCCGGATAATACTATCGAATATTTTATAGTCGACTTTACTTTGAAGCAATAGCAATTCGCTTACAGCCTAATAAAAACACAATTCAAATTATTCTAATAATAAAACGCCATCACTCACATGAATTACAACTAACACAATTTTACACCATACGATTATTTTTAGAAAATCGTTACCGTTACGTCCCCGTTACAACACTATTCAAAACTTCTCACATAAAACCGACACTATACAACATTTATAAATGCCAATAAATTATTTACATTTACACTACAAAATTGCGATGGATATGTAAATCTTTTTAAACATAAGAGATTTACAAAATAAAAGTTTACTTCCACTTAAGGCGTAGCCGCACGATTCTTGCTGCGATCGTCATTTTGATTAGCACTGCAACCGCACCAGTAGTAATTTGACTGATTTACTACTAAAAACCCCACATGCGGCCAGAATCGTACGCTAGGTCTTATGCGATTAGAAAATCGTAAGGTATAAATATTGAATCAGTGCAGCAAACCCTCCACTAAAGTTTACGAGTGCATTGTTTTATTAATATCTATAAAAAGTGCTTCCCAGAAGCATTCTTATAGCTCCCCGCGTTCGCAATCTTTATAGAGTCGCTAAGTTTATGACTGTATGCCAGATTAGATTTTGCTATTTCGATACGGAATACTTATAAGAATGTTATTTAAAATTTATTGGATAGTTTAGTTACGATGTGATAAAGTCATTTACTAGATTATTTGTAACTTGTGAGATATTTCTACTGTTAATAACTGTAATCTTATGTGTTCTTTCAGACTATCCTCTACATCTATGACAAATTTCATCGAAATCCGTCCAGCCTTTAGGCTACAAACTCTAACAAACATCAATACAGCCATACATCTAAACTTTTGTATTTAAAATATTAATGAGATTATAAATTACATAATTTAGACGAATATAGAAAATTGTCTTGTTGAAATTTTACACAGATGTAGAACATAGTCTGGAAGAACGCACCTAGTAACATTTTTTTTAAATTTCGTTGAACAATCACCAGCCAACGTTGGTCTATATAAAAATACGATGTAACCGAATAAAAGTGTCTCTGTAAGTTATTTTATCTCATTTCAGACTGATTCATCATCACCTGAAGAACCTTACCAGCCGGAGAAATCATCATCAGAATCCATTTTCTCTTCTATAATACCAGATAAGTTATCTGGCTCCATATGCACTGCTGTTCTCTTTATGCTGGGATGGAAACTTCTAGCGAATAAGCGATGAATTTACATCAAACAACGAAGAAGTAAACAATAAATGTGATAAGAATATGTTAATATTATTCTGTTAATCACGTTATTAATAACAGTTGTCTAAACGGTTATATAACAATAACTCTTTAGACGTCGCTACCGTCAACGATTAGACGTTTTGTATATTTATATGTATAGCCGAAATATATTAATCGAAATCGCTTGTTAGTTGCACTTAATGCTCTCGATTTAAATTAAATTTACAAAATGTAATCCAAAGATGTTTTGAAATGATTAAAAAAATGTTATCATTATTTTTGAAATGAAATCGATTAAAATTATAATGATTGATTAAAATTCGATGACTTATATCACCAAGGCGCGAAAATCCAGCCAGTAATATTTTTATGTAATATTTTAGGGCACAAAAGTCAATTTACTTACAATAAATGGAAATATCAATTTTAAATGACTTTTTTAATTAATTGTCAACCAGACTAAAATATTGTAAATACACACTTTTACTTATAAATTTTAATGAGCTGGGAGACATAATAAATGATTTACGAGTTTAGTGTTTTGCTGCTAATAAAGTTTATATGTTTTTTAAAGAACATTTTCTTCATTTGTAAGTAAAACTATCAGAAACAAAACTTACGGCGATTGTTTTTGAAATGGATTTATTAAATTAATTAGAAATAAATCAACGAGAAAAGTAATAATGTAATACTTATAGAATGAAATATGCTTTTGGTGTTAAATGTAGAATTTCGTATTGACAAATTTTAATGCACAATTTATATAAAAAATATTTAATAAATCTGTAAGCAATTTTTGATAATTATACCGTACTGAAATACATACGTCGATTTAAACGTTTTAATGCGAAATATGCCTATAACTTTATATAATATTTGCCTATTGATTCTGATTGAATCAATTTTTATTTAAAAAATAATCTTACCACACAACAAAACTCACAGATATTGTATAAGTTTCATGCGTACTGTGTCATCAAATTAAATTTTTTTACTGGTTCTTTGTCTGTATGTTATTGTAATTCAATTCAAATTTGTTGTTTATCTTGGTTTTTTAATGCTCTGAATCATTTAAATGGAAAATATTTAAGTTACTATACTATAATATTACGTTTTACTTTGTGTGCCAGCCGTCTACCAGTTTCTAAACCCAAACATAATAGTGGCTTAATACATGTTACAAAGTTGAATTACTTATGAAAAATTGGTAACACAGTATGTTTGAGCTCATATATTTTTACATTCCTAAGTATTGACCAGTCGCGGATTTGTGAAGAAAAAGATATTTCGTTTTCTTAAATCAAAAACACGTCTTCATTTGTTCCAAAGAGAGCAGCCTAAAATTATCATCGATTGATCTCATTATATTATTTTTGTATTAAAAAACTTTTATACTAGTATTAAATAAATTAGATTATTATTTAGGTTACGTGCCAAGCCGTTTGAGAATTATATCTGAGGTCTATTTTATTACAACTATATATAATATATTGATGTAAATAATTTGATTTAAGTGAACGGTAGTCCGTCTTTTTGTATCACAACATAATTTAATTCTGATACGTCCTATCCATACATCGTAACGTAGCCGCAGCAACAATATTTTAAAAAGCAACCTGTCAAAATTACAGATAATGAAATTTTAAATTAAAATGGTAAGAAAGAGAATTCTGACTGGGCTAGTTACCGTTTGTTTATAAGATTATTTTTAAATTGTAATTTTATTAAGTAACTAATCATTAAAATATATTAAATATATGACATAGTTCTTCGCTAGCTGATTACTCAATAAACTAAGTTATTAAGAGGCTTCAAATTTAAGTATTTTTATAATTGTGTGGTTGCGAGGAGATATCAATCAGTTCCGTTCATAGCAACGATATTAAAAAAAAAACAATGTGTTTAAATCAGTTTGATTTTAATTCGCAAATTAGACAAAAGGTATTTGGTTATTCGACTAACATTATTTTAGAAAAAAACCTTAATAATCAAATTTATTAAATATCAAATACCATAATTGGTTCTAGGTACTTGTGATTAAATAGTATTTTTTCAGAACTATTTTGTGTCTGGGAACAACACATATTGGGAACAATTTATGTTATTTTTTTAGCTGTATTATAGTTTATTTAGTTTTTGTGCTTAGTTAAGGTACAACAAATTACGGAAGGATGTGTTCAAATGTGATATATATTTATTTAGGATGATAAAATAGATTGTGAAAAAGAAGTTTTCCTAATGATCTCTCGAAAACTCTTATTTGCCGTTTATTGTCACGTTCCATATGATGTACGAGTGAATATGAAACATTTAATAATTCCTCACATTCCATTAAAATGTGAATCATTAAACTTTAATGAAATCATTATAATATTTATTGTCGTAGAAAAACATAATAACGTTATTCTGTAATAACTAAGCATTTAAAATGTATTTGCAGTTTTTTAATGTGTCATATTCACTAGTACTTAGAACAAAACAATTAAATTAATACGATGCATAATAAGAGTTTTGTACATAAATTTTAATTGGTATGCTTATTGCTCTTTGTAAGGAATTGTAGAGAAAATTTCTAAATTTCCATTAATAACGCTTTATATCACATATATTTTGTGCAAAAAATGAAAGGCATCGGTCATACAATTTGTAAAAATTATCATTAAAATTTTAATGAATCATTATAATGATGTTAAACCATTCAATTATTAGATTAGACACACAATTCATTTATGTATTTTAATATTTCTTGCCTTACATTTTCTGTGCATAATAAATGTGCTCGCTTACTGCAGTACTAAGTGTCTATACTCGTACCTAACTATTGAATTCTAAGCAATAATAATATTTACTCTTAGTTTTAAGGTCTCACTACCACGTATTTCTTATTCTCAATGTCTTTGAAATTTTTCTTTCCTCGTACCTTAAGTTTGATAAAATTTCGTATAATTTTTTTTGTCATTTATCAGTGATATAAATTATGTAATTATTTTTTCATTATACAATTTTTATTTAAAATGTATCTCTAAGAAGGCGAAAGATCTAGATTTATTACAAGAAAGCATAATCGTGTTTACTTTTGCTTCATTATATTTCTCAGTTTTTGGAGGAGTTGTAAATTTAACGTCATTCTTCGGTTGAAATATAGACGAGAATTTATTTTTAAAATAAAATTTTACAATGCATATACACTGCCGACTTTACACAAATCTCCCCCTTTCTAGGGAGATTGACTAAAGACAGAGGTAACATGTTTCGCCATTAAGAACTCAAAATATAGAATATTTTCATTTGTAAATAACTTGAATCTGTATGTAATTCATATCACTGCGTATTATTTTTAAAATTGTGTGATTAATTTAGCTTAATTCAAAGGCCTGTATATTTTAGATAATTTTAATTTAGATTTTTAATTAGTGTTAATTTTAATCTATATTTTCGAGTCATACCAATTGACTTTAGTAAGTTTGTATTTTTAAAGCGAGCGCACATCTTTGACTAAACTATATCCCAACTGTTTTGCGATTGTCGATTGTTACGCAGCCAATTCAATTGTTTTGTTGCACAATTAAAAATCGAGTAGTGTGCGCATCTTCATATAAGATCATAGGAATCGCGATTACACAGTTATGCGATGTTTTAATCAAAGGTGTGCGCGCGTTCTATTTCAGAACTGCCAACATTATTTCTGTTTTCACTATTTTATATTCTTTATTTGAAAATAATATAATTTTGTAATTAAAATTTTAATGAGTTTTATTTAAAGTTTTGCGCATTTCTAAATTTGAACCTTTGCACAAATAATTGAAGACGACTTTGCACAAATAAGAGAGAGACGAAGATATCGAGGTCAAAGGCCATATTGAATCCATGCCTTAAAATTAGCCAAGCCATTAAAACTAGAAAAGAAAAAAATAATCATTGCATAAATAAATATAGCATTAAAGTTATAATTCAATCTGGAAAAATAAACAAAAGATTTCTACTTTATGGAAATTCATTTTCATAAATATATCTGCATAAATTTTGCAAAAACTACACTTGATTGTTAGAAAAGTTACTTCTTTCCTTTTGAATATGGCCTTACCATTCAGACTTTAAAAAGCACACTTCATGAGTAACTATAGTTTCACTTTTAAATAATATTTTCCTTCGCAAACGAGAACTTTACCAATTTCTTCTCCTAACGACGTTAAATCTGTCCATCAAAACTTTCACATGTACTGGAAACTGCGGTAACTTTGAAGTTTAAGTTACCACTGCACATGTTGTAAAAGTATCATCCGTCTAAGTTAGATCACTTCATACTGGAAACTACAGTTTGCCACTCACATTTGAGAAGTAAGTTTAAATTTCAAGTTTTAAGTGACCAAGAAATAAGCAATCCGAAAAGAGTTACAGAGATCGTGAATGTACTGTTCCGAAACATGTTGCGCAACAGTATAGTAATAACAGTAATAACACCCTCATCTTACTATTATCAATGTGAAAATTTAAATGGATGGATGTTTGTTAGAGTTTGTAGTTTAGACTGGAAGGATCTCGATGAAATTTGACACCGATGTAGAACATATCTGCAAGAATACTTTTATAAAGTTTTTTTCCGCACGGACAGTTTTTTTATTTAAAAAAATGATACCATTAAATGTATTAAAAAAAAGCTTGTCTTGGTAAGCAAAAAATAATAATTTTCATCTAGAAATTACTGAAAGCCTTTATTTAGCCAGCCAGTCAGACCTTCGTGCTAGTGTAGTACAGTATACAATTTTCATTATTCCCCACTGCACGTTTCCATTATCAAATAACTTGGTTAAAAACATATCGTCATATCTAGATGTATCATAATCAAAATAATAGTGCCCGCTGTAACATCTAAGCACGAAAGAGCCGGCACGACCGGTGTAATACCACGACCACACAGAAATCAGGCGTGAAATGGAAGCAATTCCGTGTTTCGTCTGATGAGTTTGGTGCCAGAGGCCTAATTTAAGTCCCTTTCTATTTAACAACCTTTTCTTCTAAGGAGAGGATGGGAAGGGAAAGTGGATTTGACGGTGGAGGAGAAGCATAGGAAGGAGAAATATCCTCTTTATGTGCGTCTTTTCCTCTGTCGGATACGGGTAGACAACGCATCTGCAATTGCGGATATCTATGGGCAGCGGTCGCTTCGCCATTTTGGCGGATTCACGTGGCCGCTTGCTCGTTTGCCACCTTACGTTATAAAAAAAACATAATTCAAAAAATAAAAACAAAGTAATTATTTACGCATCATTATTTCTGATCAATTAATATATTAACACAAAGGATTAGATAAAAATCCTATGCATTTATTCCTTATTTAATAAACACCATATACAATCGTAATTATGACTTTGACATTTACAAAACATCAATCAATCACGATTATTGGCAACCGTCGATTCCTTGCATCACCCCATCGAATCTTTTGCATACGTAATATTAAAATATCACCACGCACTATTAGTTTTTCGTATAAAAAAACAACAAAATAACCAACTCATTTGAAATTCAAATATGAGAAACGAACCATGATTTATTTGCATATAGACAAGGTGCAAATCATCAATCAGATATTATTTCGATATTGTTCGATATGGCGATTAAAAAGTCATAACGGGAGGGTTCTTTTTACCAATCTTGTAATTTAGAAATCTCGACGAAAACAAAACTATTATACTACTGCAAACGTTTTATGACTTCTTACAATATACTAGCTAGGAATTTGTCCGGATGAAATAAAAAAAAAATAGTAAGTAGCCTTTATGTTATACCAGACCATCTATGTGCCAAATTTCATTGAGATTCGTAATGAAGTTTAGGAGATGTCTAGTAACATCCATGGAATCGTTCGCATCTATATTAGTATGAAGAATGATGTTAAAGCGAGAGGACAAAGGTTTTGTAACCGCATTGAGGTGTCTAAAAACCTGACGCGTTACAAAACAAACGCTAAAAGGTATCAATTATGTCCCCCAAAAATAACCTAAAAATAACAAAAATGAAAAAACCTCAGTCCTTTATAGACGAATTTCAGCGACAATAACAGAAAAAAAAACGACTATAAAATACAAATCCTCTTTTCATACCCACCTTGCGTACGTCTATAAAAGTTAAAAAAAAAAATATTCGTGCATCATAAAAACCACAATGCCACGTTTTATTTGGGCGGGTTTCTGCGGCGGGCCTCTGTATGCAAAATTGGTACGAAATTGAAAAACAAATTTGTTACATATTGCTTTTTTGATTCGGGGTGCGTTGTACGGATCGAGTTTGGGAGGTTATTCTGTAGCACAAAGAATTTATGCAAAAAAACTCTAACCTATTATAACCACATTTTTTTCCAATTTAAGTAATCTTCCACTGTTTTCGATCTAGGTTATCCTAAACATTTAGGGTGAGTTGCATCAAATCGCTGGTTATCGTAAAAGTTATAATAGGGTTACAAGTGCAAAAACATATTCTCACAGAGGTTT